ACAACGATTGATATCTGAGGCGCGTCAGCTGTCACCTGACGCAAGCATCGATCTCAGGCACAACATATATATATATATACGTATATATTCGTATTTACCTTTGTGTTACAGGGTAAATTAAATAATTTTTGCAGTGTGCCAAAATGATTTGGTAGTTGACGTTTTTAAGTTTTTTACTTAGATCCAATTTCATAATGAATAACTATTTATCATCTAATTTGCGAATATAATTGATCAAGGTTATTAGGATATCTTTTCGGAAATAACGATAATTGTAACGATGATTAGAAAGGCACAATTCGCCCTGGTGATCTATCTCTATGCAGAAAAAAATAGGTTGTTTAATACTTTTAAAATAAATGCTTCCTGTGTAAAAACTTAAAAGGTCCCACAACTTGGTTTTCCCTGTCGTCATTCGTGTAAAGTACCTGATCAAGTACACGGACTTTAGTAAAAAATGCTTAATCACCAGAATGGAAATTATAACACTTGATGACTCCTACAAAAACTTAGCACACAACTTTATCATAATCACTACAAAAAATTAGCAAAGTTGCTCGCTCAACTTTTATCATAACCACAATGATAAGGGGCTGTTTATCTACTCTGTAGAACATCCCAATTGATTTGTGTACGTGCTATTTAAAATTCAATCTTATATACGAGATATTATATAAAAATTATAATCTATTATTCTTAGTATGAAATTACGACTATTGCTATGTTTGGGTATTTTTACGGAGAGGTAAAAAGAGAGGACTGGCCTATCATTTGAAGATCAGTTACACAATTCATTAAAGGTTTTTTGTCCGGAGTGAAGTGAGGATCCATATTTCTATGTGTTTTGATAACCAAAAATTACGCATTCATAATAGAAGTTAAAACCCAGTTTCGGATTTTCCATCTGTAACTCCTTAATGGCCAGATTTTTTAGCCATTACCGTTAACATCTTTATACAGAGATGCCTCCTTAAATGCATCATTGCCGGACCAAACTCTTGGCAATGCGCATTCAGAGAACAATTGCATTTAGGGAGGTTAAGTATATACAGAGAAACTCTTGGCAATGCGCATTCAGAGAACAATTGCATTTAGGGAGGTTAAGTATATACAGAGAATCCCTTGGCCATGTGCATTTAGAAAACAATAAGAAAATTGCATTTAGGAGGTTAAGCATATACAGAAAAACCTCCTTAAATGTCCCTGTCCGGACCAAACTCTTGAAGAAATTACATTTAGGAAAGTTAAGCATATATATGTATTTAGGCCAGAGTTTAAAAGTGCATTTATGGAGGCAATACATTTAGGGCTAGTTTGACGAAGTCAATGGTTATACAAATAGAGCGCAAAAAAACTAGTATCTATTGGCTTCATTCGGAGCTCCATTGGCTCCATTTGCAGCCCCATTGGGTTTTATTAACCTTCATCGCCAACCTTAATTTAAAAATGTGCATTTAGAGAGTTTTTTTGTATATTGCTATTCTGATTTTAATTGTTACTTAACTTTGTTATAAAATAGTTTTTATTAGTTTTTTTTTTGTGTATATAAAGAGAAAACAGATTAATAATTTAAAAGACTTTGAGAATTCCACTAGTAATTTATATAAAAATGATCTTGATTTAGATATTTTTAAATCTTTATATGAAATATTTATGATATTTCAAATAAACGCATCTCTAGTACTTTATATAATAATATTTTTGATCTTTCAAATAAAATATTTCTAATTCTTATAAAAATATTTTTAGTTTTTTGAATAAAATATTCTTGATTCTTTATATAAAATTTTTTAGTAAAAATATTTCTGGTTCTTTATATAAAAATAGTTTTGGTTTTCTGATTAAAAATACTTATAGTTATTTATATAAAAGCATTTTTTTTTATATAAAAGCATTTTTTTTATATAAAAGTATTTTTAATTTTTCTTAAATCTATAATTAAAACAAAGCATCTACTAAATATAAAATTTAACTACATTAAACTAAATCTAATAATCTTATTGTTAAAAAAATATCTCATATATTTCAAATAAAATATTTATCATATGAATTAAATTTTATACTAGCTTTATAGAGACTCAAGATTAATCTTATAATAAAAACATTTTACAAAACAATTATTACAAAAATATTATTTTAAATAAAATTATATCTGTTAACAATTTAATATATAGATTATCACAGCTATCTTGAATAAAACTTTTACTATTTTAAATAAAGTGTCTATTATTTTAGATGAAGTACTATCTCTATATATTAATATTTTTATAAATTCTACTTATAATTTTATCAAAAAATAAAAATAACAACACTATTTATTAAAGAATTAAATAATTTAAAACTAAAACTAAGAGTATATCTGTTGATAAACTTTTTATTAATACTATTAAAATAATTAAAATTATTTATATTTTTAATTTATTAAATTAAAAATAACAGAAAAAATAAAAACTACTAATTATTCTGCTATATTATTAAACTTTAAATTTAAAAAACTTTTTTTAAAAAGCTTAAAATTTTTAAAGAAATTTTAATTTGGTGCACCATGCACCATGATGCACCCCTAATCATGGGTATAAATAGTGATTATCAACTGATTGAATTAGTTGAATTTTTTTTTTAATTTTTTTGTTTCAACGCGTTTAGTTATTAATATATATTTTTTTTTTTGTGACAGTTTCAGGTTGTCATCATTGGTGTTATCAGTTCTAGATTCTTTACTTGAGTTGGTGTCGTCGTCACTACCGGAGCCGTCGTTTGGAATTGGTGCCATAGTTTCATTTCGTTATTGGTATCTTGGCGAATTGTGTGTCGCTATTGTTGTTGGCTGTTGGTGGGAATTTGTGTCTTTATCGAGTATATCGTTTAGGTGTTGTTTCTTGTATGTTGGCAATGACAGCCTTACTCCTAGTTTTGTTGCTGACGCATCATTTCACAACAATGTTGGCTAATGACAAGGTAGGAGGTTAGAGTATTGTTCTTGATTTCTTGTTCATGAATACATACTGACAGTT